AAAAATACATATAATTTAACATATTTATCAATACAAAGTCTGAGACAGCAAAAAAACAGCAGCACAAAAAGTAACAGATTCAAAATAACATCTTGCAGAGAGAACAGTGGAGACAGTATGAGGGGGTGTGTTGAAGATTTAGCTCTTTTTATTTGATTTTATTTTATTTTTTAATGACTGTTATATCTGTTCCTTTCTCTATATGTTCACTTTCTGTATAAGTCAGCAAAATGGACATTCTTATGTTGTGATACAGTATGAGGACTATCGGAGAAGCACTAGCATCACCCATTATGGTAATGATGTGGTGCTGTGTGAAAAAGGCCAGATGCTGACTGGGGGATTTTGGGGAGGGACCCTCTGGCTGACTTTTATGATAAATTAAAAGCACGTATAAGCTTCATGCCATTTTGCTGGTTCAAAAAATAATGGTTAAGATGACAAAAGGCTTAAGTAAGGTAAGTCTGTTCCTCTGCAATTTGTGCTCATATCAATGATTTTGTTGAACATTACTGAAATAAATTAAGTTAATGCTTAAAGATGTTTCCTTCTTTGTGTGCACCATCTGAGAAGAATCAAATGATCATTGAACAGGTGTGTGTGTGTGTGTGTGTATGTGTGCTTGTGAATATGTGCAAAGTAAGTCCATGAAGCACTGTCCCTGGGGCCATTGTCCTTTAAAGTACAATGTAATAAATGTTCATCCATCGGCTGCATACAGAGCAGGTTCACCGGTGACCTCATGGGACACCGGTGAACCTGTGCTATTATGAGGGATAAATAATGACAAAAAAATATAAAAATAAATAGATACACTTATAAGTAAACTAAAATTATGGTACATATCCATCCATCTTCCGTCACGCTTATCCCTGCTGGCAACGCTCACACCTAAGGAGAATTTGGAAAGCCAATTAACCAAACAGTCATACTTTTGGACTGTGGGAGGAAGTCAGAGTACCCGGAGAAAACCCACGCCTGCTCAGGGAGAACATACAAACTCCATGCAGAAAGGGAAACAGAATAGCAGAACAAGCTTATGTTAGGCACAACCTTTATCACCTGAAATGGTCAAATAAATATCACAGAAAGGTCTGAGCCTCTAGTTTCCAATGATGCCGACCATTAGGGATGTGGCTTAAAATGAATGTCAAGTGTTGTTAGGTGGAATTTTAAATTCTTTGATTTGTTTACACAGCTAATAAATAAAAAAAGTATTTGTGGAATAAAAAAATTTGAAGCATGGTTTAGAAATTTTAAAGCCCTCTTTTGAAAGGCATGTGGATGAAACACCACAGTACTGTGTTTTGGCCATTTCTATAAATAGATCAACATGAGCAGGTGTCAGATGGGCCCAGTACCGGGCCCACTGGGCTCAAAGGGGCTAAGTGAACCCGATGGCTGTCCACCTCCAATTCCCTCATTTGTTAAGAGTACATCTCGATTCCATGTTAAGTACATTGTCCCGTGTTAAGCTCATTGTAACCTCTAGGTTTGTGCCCACTGCAGTCAGCTTTTAGTATAGCTAGGCCCAGTCAGCTATAGCCTCTACATGCTGGCAATGTTACCCCAGCAGCATTCCTTCTCTGCCTCCTCTCCCCGCTCCAGTGTGCTGATTTCTCCATCCTTTGATCTCCCACTTTAGTTCCATATTTCCAGAGGCTATCGTGGCTGTTATATTGGTCCTGTTTCGGTTTTTTTCTTTGCCGTTTTCTCACATTGCTCTCCAGTTACTCCTGTCTTAGCTACAGCTACATTTGTCCCGCAATGCAGGACAGCAGAGCCACAAACCAGGTGATGGATAGGCTGAAGTACGACTGAAAGTGACTGTCATCCAGACGTAGCCTGGAAGTTGGAGTGGTAATCCCCATACTCGTTCTGTATCTGGGAATCTGGTGTAACTAGGAAAGCAGACAGCTCTTTTTTTTAGCTTTCTAATGTAAAAAAAAACAACAACATTGCCACTCGCTCAGTAAATCCATGTCCGCCAGGATGAGGTAAAACCAATGACCAGCAGACTCCATGATGTAGGAGGCTTTTGACCGCTGAGCTACTCTCTTTCATTGGGAAGGTGAATTTCAAGGCGAGCAACAGACTAACAAATTTTGCTGAGTTTGCGTTTGGAAAGAACACACTTTAAGATATTTTTCAATTCTGGCCTTCCAGCCTTCACCCCTTGAGACAAGATGCAATTAATTTCTGTTGATTGTTTATTACACACATTATACTTCGACTACCGACTTATGCATGCAAAGATTGCCTTGGTTGTCTTAACCCTCTTTTTTATTCTGAGCTCTTTCCACTTTTGAGTTTTTTTGCTAGTAATTGTCTACCACATACAT